TGCAGTTTTATTATCAAGATACTTATAATCTAGGAGGAGTCACAGTAATGCACAAACCCTACTGTGGAATGATTGGGGAAAAAAACTTTTTTGTGGGGGAGACAAATCAACTAACAACTGAATTCATCTCCAGTCAAACCACAAAGGATAAGAACTATAAAAAGAATATCTGGTTGGTTTTAAAACTGCAATTCCATCTGCTTTGGGATCCTTTTCTTTTTCATAAAGCTTCAGAATACGTTGCTATAGAATCTAAAGAAAAAGAAACCAAGATCTTCTCAGTTCATCTTCATCTAGATTAAAACAAATCATTCACCCATAGATTCAGAAGTGGAACTAGTAGCTTTTGATGAGGTGAGTCTCAGATATTTTACTTTAAAAATTAGATGGATTAACAGATTAGATTAACAGATTAATAGAGTTGGAAGGGACATTTACTAGTTGTAAATCATCTAGTCCAACCCTCCGTCCAAGCAGGAGACCCTAATCATTTCTGACAGATGACTGTCAAACTGTCTTCTTCAAAGTCTCTAGATAGAAGATGATTTCTACTATACCCATCAATTCCTTTGCAAACCAAGAGGATTTTAGATTCTAAATGGTTGCTTCGACTAAGAGAGGGAAGTAACTTAATAAACAGATGGCTTTAGTCACAGACTCTAATCTTCACCTGCAACATAGGATGCCCTTTAGATAACACAGTGCTTGGTTTCCATCTTTCTCCTTTTTTGTTTAGGATGATCAGGTGTAAAAGAGGGCAGGAAAGTTCCACATATGAAACTGAAACTATTTTGGAAGCTGTGTTTTGTCACTCAGGAGGGAGACAAGGAGTGTTATGAAATCAGTTACTGTATGTTATACAACTAACATAGCTGTTATGTTCCTGTACATTCCATTGCTGTTTGCATTGGTGTGAGTGTAGATTGGCCATCATCAGAATACTTTAAAGAACCAGTGGTGGTTAAAAGGCATCAGGCCAATGTTGTAAAGAGGAAAATTGTCAAAAAAAAAAATTAAAAAAAAATGTTTAATAATTTTTATTTTTTTTTTAAAAAAAGGCATCAGGCCAGAAATTGTGAGCCCATGAGTTCTAGTCTATCTTGGACATGAAGCCAGCCTTATGATCTTAGGTTACTGTCTCTCAACACTAGGAAACAGGCAAGGGCAAATCACTTCTGAAAATCTTTAAAAACTGTGTGGAATTATCCAGGCAGTCACCAGGAGTCAAGGAATGATTCAAGGTTAGGACAACAACAACAACAACAGCACAACAACAAAGGAAAAGAAGAAGAGAGTTTTTAAGTGTTGAACTCTGTTGAGTCAGAGTTAAATTATTTGTTTTTTGTTATCTTTATCTAACAATAATTACCTTCAAATTTAATATAATGAATCGGATGCTTGCAAAGAGGTCAGGAAAAGTTGTTAACTGAGTTTTTTAACTTAATGGGGAAATATGATATATTTAGTTCACAGAACCTATAGCTGGGAGGAGAGATGGCAATGATAAATAAAAAGCTGCTCTAATAAAATAAATTACAGTAAAGAATAATTTTTTAATTCACTAAGGAGTCAGTCTGGTCTCAGCCTAAGGATACTTTATCCAGTGTTCTAAAGATGCAGAATCAAACAAAACTAGTCTGATTTAAAGGGAACAATGGACAGTTTCAAGGATTCGGAATAATGTCAAATGCAACTCAGATTAAACAGCTACAAGAAATTCATTTTGTGAATTTTAATATGAAAAAAATACGATTGTTGGCACACCTAGGGTATTAATATTTCCCATGAATCTCCAGGGGAAGATTTGAAGAAGTAGTTTTATGATTTGGATTATGGATATTCTATCAGCCCTCAAAACAGAACTTGAATAAAAGAATAATAGAGGTGGAAGGAACCTTGGAGGTCTTCTAGTCCAACCCCCTCTTCAAGCAGGAGACCTATTTCAACAAGTGGTTGTCCAATCTCTTTTTAAAAACCTTCAGTTTTGGAGCAACTACAACTTCTGGAGGTAAGTCATTCCACTGATCAATTGTTCTAACTGTAGGTTGGATCTCACCTTGATTAGTTGCCATCCATTGCTTCTTGTCCTGCGCTCAGGTGCTTTGGAGAATAGATTGACCCCCTCTTCCTTGTAGCAGCCACTTATATATCGGAACATTGCTATTATGTCACCCCTTAGTTCTTCTTTTCATTAAACTAGACATACTCAATTCCTGTAACCGTTCTTCATATGTTTTAGCTCCAGTGGCCTAATCACCTTTGTTGCTCTTCTCGGCACTCTTTCCAGAGTCTCAACATCTTTTTTATATCATGGCGACCAAAACTGGATGAAATATTACAAATGTGTGGTCTTACCAATGGTACGAATACTTCACATGATCTTGAGGCCTTAAAATATTCACTGCCACACAGGAAATGCAAATAAAACAAAACCATTGATTCCATGGATCAGTGGAAAGTAAAGAAAACAGTGGCTATTAGGAAGCTTCTGCTCTGAAACCAGAAAATAAGGAAGTCATGATTTCTCAAAATACCCCTCAAGAAATTGTTCAGAAGAGACACAATTTACAGCCAAAGCCCAAGAGATCCAAATTAGATGCAAATAGTACTTACTTGCTCCAATAAAGAAGACTCCAGAGGGTGAAAGATTTGTGGCTTCCTTTATTTTTTACAACCCTTAAATTGAACCCCCAACATTTGAAGATGTTGTAAATTTGGTAATCTCTGGGAAGAAAGAGATGAAAAAAGAGAAGATCCCTCCCCATATGTTATAATTTATGTGATCAATGAATTTAGGCAACTTTGATTGGTTATAATGTAGTGGTGGCTCTCTGTGTGATAGAAAGAAATGCTTAACATAAAGAAGCAGTGTTTTAGAGAAAAAATAATGTATTGTTTGTGTAAATAAACAGTTTGTGTGCCTCTTTCTATATAAGTGTGCAGGTAAGTGTAAATATATAGAATTTTATTAGATCATATTTTATTTTTTATTTTGTGGCGGCATCTGCATTTATTACTCCTGCTTATCGTTTTTCTGAAAATGAAAAATACTGTGATGGTGCTCACAGTATATATACATATGTATTTGTGTGAGTAATACACACATACTTACACATATACTTTAAAAAGCAGGATAAGGTCAACAAATAATAAAAATATTATTACCGGCTCAGTGTTGACTCAGCCTTCCATCCTTCCAAAGTCAATAAAATGAGGACACGGATTTTTGAGGGGGGGCAATATGCTGACTCTGTAAACCACTTAGAGAGGGTTGTAAAGCACTGTGAAACGGTATATAAGTCTAAGTGCTATTGCTATTGCTAACCACTGCGCTACCACAGCTCTATATATCTATAGATCTGCATATATCTGATGTCTGTAACCTTTAACTGGGTAAAACAGTGCTGTATAGGGCAATTTTTTTTCCAATCAAGAACTTCAAATGGGCTAACTTAGAGAATATGTCCGAAATTCAGGAATGTGTCCAAAATTCAGGACCCATGATTCCCATGGAATTAAACTTTGGCAAATTTTATAAAATATTAATAATAAAATGGATCATAAAGTATTTTATCACATAATACAAAATATCATCAAACATTTCCTGTGGACAGTTGCTAATGTTTGACTATACCATACAGTTCAACATAGGCTACTTTCAAGGCAGAAACATTTCTGAATATCTCTGTGAATTTTAAAGAATTTTTTCACGTACATTAGAAACTCAACCATTGTTGAAGGCATTTAATTTGGTAAGGAAATATATCTGGTTATCTTTTAGAGCGGTACAGCCTCTAAAAGTGAAGAGATTTGGGTGATAAAAAGGTGATTTATCTTTATTAAAGGATTTTTTCCATGGGTCTAAGCATCACATACATTTCAGATTTACAATCATTTTTTGTAAAGCTCATAAATCTTGCAGAATGTGAAATTATTGGGGGGAAGGGTGGTCCGAATTAGAATTCTAGACCAGTGAAAAGTACCCAAGAAGAATATATTCAATAAGCTAAATGGTAAATTTAAGGAATTGTTCTTTAAGTTGAAGTTAATGAAAGGATGGGATGAAAAATTGGTTATGATTATGGTTGCACATATGATTCACAAGCCCATAGAAAATGTATAGGCAGATTTGTTTCATCTCTTTTACAGCATAAATCATCTTTGACAGATACTGGTATGGTAATAATTACAGATCACATTCCACTCGGTGCAATGTAAATGAGATCCTATACAGCCCTCAGTCAAAACTTAATATTGCTTCAGCAACAAATGTTTCCCGCTCTTAATCAGTAAAAGCAACCCAACAAAATTGATTTCAAGAATTATCTTTTACCAGACATGAAGAAATGGGAAACATTTTTAGGAATGTGTGTATGAAACACTGGGATGTTTTAAAACACTATAAAGGGAAAAATCTGTTCAGAGTAAATCTGAAATGCAACAACTTTCAAGCAGATATAAAGTATGCCAACCAACTAACCCTTCAGTATTTGAAGGAAACAAGTAAAAGACTCTGACCTTATAGATATAGACTGGACTATCATTTCATTGATAAAACTAAAACAAAAAAAATATTGTGAATCTATTTACAAATATTCAAAATGGCAGACTTGTATTCAATATAGTGGATGATGAAGGAATCCTAGTATTAGACTCCAGAACGACAGAGTTATCTGTTTCATCTCCAGTAAATACAGCTCTATTATTTTTTATCATAATGTAAACATCATTCCCAAATTAAATATATCCAATATTAGAAAGAATTTGGCATAACGATACCTGAAACTGTTGCCTGAAGAGATTCATTTGGGACAATATAGACCAATACAAATGGAGGAATTTGATATCGATCCAAAGGATGTGGGTCTGATCAATGCAGAGTCCCATAAATGTTAACAAAGGAGCTTTAACCTCAGTATATGATTTGTCAAAAGAACAGTTGTGTTGATTTTAGATCAGGCTTTTCAACAATTCTGCTTGGTTGCCTTGCAGAAAGTCTGGTGCATCATGGACATTTTCCCCAAAACTAAAATAAATAAATAAATTGAGCTATTGCTGACATCTAAAACTCAGAGAGTGCTTAATTTATTTGCTGAAATGGTCAATTTATAACGCAGTGAATCACTGTTATTGGGTAATTAGATTCATAGATGTGCTTGGAATCTTGTGGATAATTGAGACATATTCTGTAAAAGGAAGATTATACCAGTTTAAAACATTTGGGGGTGGATTTGTATATGTGTGTGTCTGTGTGCAATACTACCTTATCAACCCAAAAGTAAATAAGGCTGAAGGAAAGAAACAAAAACAGCCAAGCTGAGACCCACATTTAGAAGTAAAATTATCACATATATCTATAGCCTCCCCCAAGAGATCAAAGGGAAATGTACAGTTAAATCAGATATTAATCTCTTTCTCATTTGTTTTCAGCTGTGAAATGGCCAACCAGAACCAAACAGACAACCCAGAAATAACCCTTTTGAGGATCTCCAATAGACCTGAATATCAGAGTCTTTTCTTCCTGCTTTTTCTGTCCATTTATTTGCTGACCCTTCTAGGGAATTTCCTCATTGTCTTGCTTATCCGCTTAGACAACCATCTCCTTCAGGCCCCGATGTACTTCTTCCTGAGCCATCTCTCCCTGGCTGACATCATTTTTGTTTCCACCACTGTTCCCAAAATCCTGATAAATCTGATGTCTCAGACTCAGACCATCGCCTTCGATGAGTGCTTGACCCAGATGTATTTCTTTCTCACCTCTGGTAACACAGATAACTTCCTCCTTGCCTGCATGGCTTATGACCGCTACGTGGCCGTCTGTCACCCACTGCATTACGTCACTGTGATGAGCCACAAGTGCTGCCTATTTTTGGTTTCTGGATCCTGGATCATTTCCGGGCTCCACTCTTTACTCTATACCCTTCTGATATCACGCCTTTCTTTCTGTACCTCTATGGAGATCCCTTATCTTTTCTGTGATGTCTATCCCTTCCTGGAGTTCTCCTGTTCTAATACAAGGCACATAAAGTTCTTGGCACAGACGGAAGGGGTGGTGGATTTGCTGGGGCCTTTAGCTGTCATCATTATCTCCTATGCACTAATATTCTCCACCATCATGAAAATTCCCTCAGCAGCTGGGAAATGCAAAGCGGTTTCCACCTGTGGCTCACATCTGGCTGTGGTGATCTTGTTCTACAGCACTATTAGCTGCCTTTATTTCCAGCCTCCCTCTGCGTACTCAGCCCAAAAAGGCACTTTTATCTCTCTTTTGTATGCAATGGTGATACCAATGTTGAATCCCTTCATTTATACGCTAAGGAACCAGGAGGTAAAGTCAGCAATAGTGAGACTTCTTGGCAGGATGAGAGCTTTCTTAAGATAATAAGAACAAGCAGAGTGACATTTCCATAGTTGCTGGGTGTTTTTTTTGGGGGGGTGGGGTGAGGAGGAGGTGGTGGATGGTACTAGGGCAGAGGTAGTATTCAGCAGGTTCTGACCAGTTCTGGAGAACCAGTAACGGAAATTTTGAGTAGTTTGGAGAACCGGTAAATACCACCTCTGACTGGCCCCGGCCCCATCTATTCTCTGCTTCCTGAGTCCCAGCTGATTGGGAGGAAATGGGGATTTTGCAGTAACCTTCCCCTGGATTGGGGAGGGAATGGAGATTTTACAGTATCCTTCTCCTCCACGCCCACCAAGCCACACCCACACAACCGGTAGTAACATTTTTTGAATCCCACCACTGTACTAGGGCCTTTAGTCATCATCATTATCTCCAATGAGACATATTCTCTACAATTGTCAACATTCCTTTTAAAACCGAGGAAGCACAAGGCCTCCCCCCACCCCGTCAGTTCTGACTTGATTATGATCATCTTGTTCTCTCGTAGTATTGGTTTCTATCTTGCCTTTGTTTTCTCAACCCAGAAAACAATCTTTGTCTGGACTATGACATCTGTGTTGAATCAATTCATCCATATCCCAAGGAACCAGGATACACAAAGAACTGCAGTTAGAATAGAATAGGGATTTTTTTTTATTTAAAAAAAAAGAAAATTAGGGGACATTTCTGTGCATTGTTCTTGTCAGTTTTGTAACATTCTATCACAATACCATATTTCTTAAATTAATATTATTGGTTTTCCCTGAGCTACCTACTTCACTGCCACTTTAAAAAATGGTTCATTGGTGTACTGTTTCATCATTCTTGCTGTCATTTATATGCTGAGATTTCACCTCACTTCCAAACAATCCAGATGAACCTGTGCTGAAAAATACTTGTTATTGCATTGATCAGGTTCAAATTAAAAATAATATGAAGAAAACTTCAAAAGTTTTCCAGTTCTTCAACGATCTGATTTTATTAAAACAGGAAAAGCTCAGTAGTAAGATAGACAATTCAGGAAAAGAATAATAAAACAAAGCTAGTGTTGTTGTTTTTTTAAAAAAAGCTCTTTTGTTATCTTGCGAGTTGGTAATTAACCTGTGATCTTTGCTGTGGCACTCTCATGTATTGTTCTGTCATTGGCAGCCAAGTCATTTCCTTTACCTACATTTAATTCTTTGTTTTCCAATACAGTTGTAATTTGGATTGTATTACAGCATGTGAGGGGCTTATATCATAATAGATTTCAATATATGACATCATTCAGAGATGGAAGGTGTAAACTTCCCAGAGCGATAGCCTTATTAATTTTTCTTGCAGCAAAATCATCTAAAAATATACGAGGACACCTCAAAAGTAAACAAACTCACCTGTGATTTGGGATGCCAACTTTGTACTTGCTGTATAGGACATGTCTCCAAAGTTTTAGTGTTAGAGACCAGCATCCCAAGAGCTATTCAGACTGCTTGTCAAATATCTCTAGGGCTTTCAGTATAAAACCTCTAATGCAATTCTTTCTGCTTGTTGCTGGAATCTTGAGACATTCAACCAAGTCAGATCCATCTGGCTTTGTTCTATTTTATCCAGTGCTTTGATCCACTATTGAAGATCACACCCAGGAGAAAAACCAAGAGCATCTGGATAGAGGTAGGCAGGAGTAGAATTGCTATCTTTAAGATTTGCTGCAATCTCTGATGTTTTGACTTGTACATAAGGCTACCAACACCGTCTTACCTCTAAAGCCATATCCAGCTTGATGGAAGTAGAGTAGACAGAGAAGTTGCATGTGTTTGAAGATGACTAAAACAAGGTAGCCATAATTCTAATAGACGGATAACCTAGCATGAAAGATGAGAAGGAATAATGTTTGAACTTTTGCCATGAATAAGTGTGATCTGCTTTGGGGTTACCAATTAATCCAAAACGTGGCTGGTATGCATCTGGATCAGCATAGCGATAAAAAAAAATCTGTTTGATCTGCATACATATGGAGAACAGTAGATGACTTTTTTTCATGTTTAGAGCAGGAGTTTTTAATCTTTTTATAATATGGACTTCTTTGAGAGAATGGTGAATCCTATGTATATTTTCTCAGAAAAAGTATCTAAATGTATAAAATGTTACATACATACATACGTACATACATACATACATGCATTACAAAAGAAACCAATTACCCTCAAATAGTTATCAAAATATTAAAATATATCAATATAATAGCTTTATTATTAAGTATTAAATTATTAAATTAATAACCATTTAATACCATACTGTACTAAATTAATGAACATGATTGGAGTTTGACTGTACATTCATGCTTACAGTAATTAATGAGTGAAAAATTAAATTTCAGTTAGAGGTTAGTGAAGATAAACTTATAATTTTTTTTACCATTCAAACTCATGGACCCCTTCAAGTGTGTGTGTGTGTGTGTGTGTATGTGAAGAGGTCTGGGCACCCCAAGCTAGCAGTAACTGGTCTAGAGACAGACAAATTTGTTCTGTGAGATGATTAGCCAGTTACAAGGTAGACATTGTTGATTTTGCTATGATAATTTTTATGGGCTATACCTGGGATTTCAGTATATCTGTGACCCACATTAAGGCTAGTTTGGTGTAGTGATTAAAGGAACCAGGCTAGAAACCAGGAGACTATGCATTTTGGTCCTATTTAGGCACAGAAGTCAGCTGACTTTTGCCAGTCAGTCTCGCTGTTAGAGCCCAGGTAATAGGAGACAGGAAAGCAGATGATTGTCAAGACTTTTATGATTTAGCATGTTATAGAAGGGAAAGAAGCATAACACTAGAAATACAATATAAAACTAGGACATGCCTGACAGTATTAGCAATAGCAAATCCATAGTGGTTGAGATTGCATTGAAAGACTATATGTGTGGAACATTGGATGGCTACTCCATCCCTGAAGCAATAACCATACATTGAAATCTTATAACAGGTACTGAGGTAAATTTAAGAATGTCCCCTTAAGAAAACTTTGGAATATATGGTAATACAAGTCAAAGAGGCCATGGTGCTCTTCAGCCATCCTGTAGTCAGCAGAAGACAGTACTAGCCAGAAATGGACTGCTTTCATGGCTGATCCTTATCCTGCCTCAACTGACTCTGCAGTCCCCTGATTTCCATCCAAATAGCCTTGGTGGCGCCAAGAGCCTTGGTGGCGCAGCGGACTAAAATTGCTGTTAAAGTAGCACTTAGCTGCCAGCTGCCTGCAATTACTGCGAGTTCAATTCTCACCAGGCTCAAGGTTGACTCAGCCTTCCATCCTTCCGAAGTAGGTAAAATGAGGACCCGGTTTGTGGGAGCAATAAGCTGACTTTGTATAAATAGAACACCGCTTAGGGGGGGCCAAAAAGCCCTACTAAGCAGGTATATACAAAAGTATGAAGGCTATTGCTTAATGCATTGTAAGCCGCCCTGAGTCTCCGGAGAAGGGTGGCATATAAATCAAATAAATAAATAAATAAATACATAAATAAATAACAGATAACAAAGCCTCAAGTTCTTATGCACCTTGAAGCTTCCCTTGGGTGTTGTTGGAATAACAGGGAAATCACTATTTTAGTATTGGGATGGTCAAGGAGAAACTAACTGGCTATCAATGAGAAAATGACCATTATGGGGACCAACTTGAAACAAAGAAGATGTTGCATGCTTTTGCCATGGGTGGAAGCAATGGGAAAAGCCTAAGGAGTCTTTCTAAAGCAGCAGCAGTGAGATGAAGAAACCCCTTAAACATCATTTAAGGGAAGGATAATAGGTAGCTTTTGGAAAGGGGTGCCATCTTTCTCTGGGCAGATTGCAATGCCTTTTAAGAGATGTCCAATGGGCAACAAATCAGCAGGTGAAAGCTCATAATCTCCCCATCGCCACCAGACTTTCATTTTAAGGAAAAGTTTGTGGAGAAGGACCTGGGGCATAAATGGCAGCAGCTAGAAAAGGGACTAGGCAACGGAAAAGATAGATTTGAGCATAGATCTGTGAGTGGTCCCCCACCAGAGGATGTGATTGCAGCAGGTAAGAGTATCGGACTGGATTCAGTATTACAAATCCTTAGTTCATTAACAATTAAATGGGGATGCAAGAAGACTTTCTCTACTGCTCATCCCAACCCAGGCAAGCAAAGCACATACAACCGATTTAAAAATCCAACATGGGACGGCCCTCCCTCCACTGGCTGTCTTTTACCTCCATTGACTGTCTGACTTGCAAGCCTAAGAAATGAAAACAACCTTCTGTTTTGGAGACACTTCATTATTTGTCTTTATGGATCCAGATGGGAACCATGGGGGAAGTAGAACAAGGCTGGGAGAAATGGGAAAGGAAAGGAGTCATCTGCCGGAATTTCTGGAGCGATTGTAATGTAATGCAAGTACACAGCATCCCACAGGAAACTCACACTTTACCATTTGTCTTAGATGCTTCTTATTTGATATTTGGAGACAATGTCAGCATTTTCATAACTTTTACAATTTCCACAAGTTTACAAATTCCACAATTGCCACAAAAAAAGATTTAAAACCACAACCAGGCTTGTGTCCATCTGGCTCACTACTCTCTGTTTAGTTTAATTACAGGATTCAAACAAGAGCCTTTCCCAGCTTTATCTGGAGAGCCTATGAATTAAACCTGGGATTTTCTGCACACAAAGATCCACTGCGAACCAACTTTTTCTGCCAACTTTGAAACGTAAGTTGGCATTGGGAAAGAGTTGCGATGGGGAGGGTCTTCTACCTTCACAAGGAATATGGAGGCCAATGGCCAATGGCCAGATTTAGAACTCACTTTCATGGAGTGGATCAGCTCCTTTTTTTCATTGACAACAAAATGCAGGAAAAGCTTAACTTGAACTTTATATCATTGACATACTCTTGGAAGTACGGATTTGCTCCTAGTGCTGAAGTTCTGTGTTTGGTTGCAACTTCAGTTGTAATAAAGCCTGAAAGCGTTAGAGAAGGTTCATCTTTTCTATTTATTCTG